CAGCCCTAGGCGTCCCCGTCGGCCTGGCCTGGGAGCTCCGGCGCGGCCTGGCAGGACTGGGGAGGGCTTGACCCCGGGTGAGCTGGACCCTGGGAGGGCAGGACTCCAGGAGGGCAGGACCCCGGGAGGGTCACTGAGGAGGGCTGGACCCCGGGAGGGTCACTGAGGAGGACTGGACCCCGGGAGGGTCACTGAGGAGAACTGGCCTCTGGGAGGGTCACCAAGGAGGGTTGGGTCCCGGGAGGGCTGGACCCCTGGATGGCTTGGACCCCAGACCAGGCAGGACCTAGAGAGTCAACGAGGAGAGCCAGGACCCCAGGAGAGGGGCACTTAGGAGGACTTGACTATGGGCAGGACACTGAGGAAGGCCAGGACCCTGGGAGGGTCTCTGTAGAGGGCTGGACCCTGGGAAGGTCACTAAAGAGGGCTGGACCCTTGGGAGGGCTGAACCCGAGGAGGGTCACTGAGGAGAACTGTGACCTCAGACCAGGTGGGACCTTAGGAGGCCACCAAGGAGGGTCAGGATCCCAAACCAGGTGGGACCCAGGGAGGGCCAGTCACCAAGGAGGATCAGTCCCTGGGACTGGACAGGACCACAGAGTGCCAGGACCCCATGACAGGTCATCTGTGAGGGTCAAGCCTCAGGACAGGTCACTGAGAAGGGCTGGGACTCCAGGACGGGTCAACAAGGAGGATCGGACCTGGGCACCTGGCAGGGCCCAGGGAGGACTAGGAACCTGGGCAGAGTCACCAAGGAAGGTCAGACTTAAGGACTGTGAGGACCCAAGGAATGCCAGGACCTCAGAAGAGGTCATCTAGAAATGTCCAACCCTGGAACAGGTCACGGAGGAGGGTCCAACTCGAGACAGGTCATAGGACTCTGGGACCCTGAAGTGGTCCTGTGCGTACTCTTGGGACACTCAGATGGTACTGTATGGAGGGTTTGTGACATGGACAGCTCTGGAATGACCAGGACCCCAGACAGGCTAAGAGTAGGGATGCTGGGTCTGGGCAAAGAAGAAGGCTAGTCTCAGGAAGGACCTTGATAAGAGCTGGACCCTCCAGACAGGTCCCTAGGGAGGGCTGAGTCTCCTGGACAAGTCACTGAGGAGTATGTATACCCCAAGACAGGACTGTAAGGGGGTGCTGGGACCCTGGAGTAGGACCCAGAGTTACTCTGAATCTGCCCAGCCCACCAGCTGGACCCACCTGCTGTGAAGACTTAGACACCTGGGGTCCTGGTCACCTGAGGCTCTCTCCTTGAGGTTCTTGAGCATCCTGGTATCATGAGCTCCTGTGCTAGCCCCACAGCCCTTCCCTAGCTGCCTGGGCTGGCCCCATAGCCTTTCAGACCTTCCACCGATACTGCCGTAACCAGGATCTAGGGAAAAGAATGGGGCTCATGCTTGCAGCTCCGAGGAGGACTCAAGGGTTTCTGGAAGGTTCCCGGTCCACACTGGCTTCCACACCTCAGGCTAGCACTATGCCCACTCCCCAGCCCAGAAAGCTGTTCTCTCCCCTCTTTTCTCAGCCTCTCTTCCAGGACTGCTGTCCTTTCCTTGCTTTGGCCCTGTGGTCAGTGTCCACCACCTTCAGCTCCTCCTGCCCCTCCTCTCCCCTTCTCAAGGCTGTGTGAGTATAGCCTCCATCCAGAGTCTAGACGTGTACTCAGTGGCTAGAAAGCTCCAGGAACAGGCAGGAGTTAAGGAAATGTGGGGTCTAAGCTGGGAGCATGGACTCCCGGAAGTGTGTTGGGCAGTTGGCCCACAGCAGGAAAGTTGGAGCAGGTGAGGCTGCAAGGTTAGTGGGTACCTTCCTCACCCTCTTCACTCCAGGGAGGAAGGTATTAAGGGGTGCTGGAGAGGGGGGTAGGGGTCTTTGTTTCTCTGGACCCTTTGAATCAGCCTTTCATCTGGAACTCGGTAACGTTCCCCTTGAATTTGGAAGTGGTCGTGGAAAAGTAGGGTCTGCTCTTTTACTCTGCACAAGGTATTCGAGAACCTTTGTTCTTTGCTCTTCTCTGACTAGGAAGGCTGTCCAGGGAGACCTTGTTTGGGCATTTTGAAAGGATAGACGGCTCAGGGACCCAGTTCACAGGGCTAAACTACCGTGCTGTTCGATGTGCAGGGTACATTTACTGAAAGAACAACCAAGTCATGGACAGAGGAGCAAAAGCCAGGATGTTCCTTTAGGAAGATCAGCTGAGTTAGGCTTGTGAATTTTTCCAGAGTCAGGCGATGAGATGAGGCATAGACCTAAAACTCTGAGCTGGAAGGACTCCCGAGAGTGACATTTGAATCGGTCAGTTCATTGTTACATTTTCACCACAACTTCATTTCCTGGTTACTTAGGAGAAGCCACTTGAGAGTTTCAATTTAGCACTTCATGGAACTGAATGTCAACCAAATGGTGTCCCTCACTGGCCTAACTGAGACACTTTCATTTGACCTTTTTACTCAACACTTCCTTCTGACTTCTTCTTCTGATGTATCCCTTACTGTCTTTAAAACTTTGTGAAATTTGGGAGAGGAACTTGCAAAACTGAGTATTCAGGTTTGGTAGACTCTCTTATTTTTGCATTTTTGAAGGTGTAAGAGTGCTGAGTAGGTGGATTATTTGCATACTTCTGTGCTACATCTCACCTCAAGCATAGTGCCTTAAGCCAAAGGTCTGTTATCACTTTACAGTTTCTGTGGGTCAGGACCCAGGCTCACATGGGTCTCAAAGGCTCACTGCCAGCGTGGGTCTCATCTGAAGGCCCGATGGCAGGACCAGGACTTCGTCCCACTCCTCATGTGACCACTGGCTGAACTCTCCAGTTCCTTTCCACAGGGGTCTCTCTATAGGGTGGCTCAGAGGCAAAGCAGGAGAGAGACAGGAAGGAAGTTAGGGTCTTCTAATCTTGGAAGTGGCATTCTATCATTTTTGCCAAATTCTTTTATTAGAAATGAGTTTCTAGGCCCCTACTTACTTGAGGGGAGGGATCCTACAAGGGTGAACATACTAGAGGCGGGTGGGGGTCACAGGGTCATCTCAGAGGCTGCCAACACAGTAGTACCACGAGCTAGGTGTTTAGGTAATAAAGGGTCCGTACCGAGAAACATCCCATAAGTAAATGAACAATTGCATGTAGAGTGGTGTGTTAAATGTGCGGCCGTGACAGCTGTGCGCTCTTTCATTGGTGTCGGTGCCTCTGAGATTACCGTGATGATTGAGATCATTGATACGTGGACCTTATACACGAGGGGAGATAAATTACAAATATAAAAGATTCTTAGGAATTAACTTGTAATTTAGAATACCAGTAGAAAGCCATAAGACCCCACAAATTAAATCATAGCATGTGCCCGTGTTGTTGAATTCTTTGATACCCTCAAGTGCAAGGCTCTTGTTCCCAGCGTCTCTTTTAAGTTTTTCTTGACCAAAGTTTGTAGGGAAAATATTGTTGCCTGTTACTTCAGGCCTTGTGCCTTTGGCTATTTGAGTCCTCATCAAAGTGCCGTGTGAGATCCCAAAACGTTTTGGACATTTGTCCCTTGTGAGGATATCGTGCTCCAGAGACCTGCTGTGGGCAGGAGCCTCTGCTCCTCGCTCCCGGCCTCCACTCTAGGGGTGCCAGACCCCACACCTGTTAGCTCTGGGCCAGGGTTTAGCCCAGGGCGATGAGGAGGACCTTTCCACCAGCCTGCCCTCCCTAGACCTTTAGGGGCTCTGCCACAGGGCCTTGGAAGGGCTGGGGTAAGACAGGGACCTTTGCCATGGGCTGGAACTGTTTATCTGGATTGTTTGCTTTGATTTATAAGGCAAGTTTCTCCTCGCCTATAATGTTACTCTTTAATGTGTTAAACGACAGGATTTGTTGTTTCATTTGCAGCCTTATTTGGTAAATAGTTAGAATTGAATTTGAAGTTGGAAATATAATTTTTTGGTTTTAACTGTTGAAAGATGGTGAGGCTTAGGGACAGTTTTCTATTGTTTGTCTATTTTTATTACCCTTATGATATTGCTGTTAATATTGCAAAAATGCTGCACAATTCATTGTGCCTCAAAAATTGGAACTATTCTTTAATTCTATAAGTTGAATGTTTATCATTGCATTTTTTTAAATGTGGGGCCTTTAAAAATAATAACAAAACTATATTTCTTAATCTGCCACATTTCTCCATACAGAAATGAATGATATGAGAGCCAGATGACAAAGAACAATAATAAGCATTGCCTAGAGGCGTTTTTGTAGAATTGTCCACTAAATTAAGCAAAACGCCCATTGATAGGAACTCATGCTGTCTAGAAAATACTGTCCTTATCAGCCATGGCTAGAAGAGAAATTAATATTTAGATACTTTGGAATGGAGAGGTTAATTGGATTGTTTTTGATATTTGCTGGACTTTGCTACATTAACAGCAAATTCCAGATGTTTAGTAAGAAATAGATGCAAATAGTGGAAATCTATCTGCAGGCCTCTGTGAAGCCCTCTGCTAACCCGTGGGTCTTGGGGCCTGTGTGGGCTGCATGGGCTCTGGAGGGCCAGTGTGGACCTTGGGGAATGTGAGGGCTGTGTGGTCTCAGGGGGGCCTTGTGGGTCCTGTGTGGGGGCCCATGTAGGACTTGTATGGGCTGCATGGCCTCGTGAGGCCTTGTTTGGGGTCTTGTGTGGACCTTGTGGGGTCTGCATGGTCTCATGAGGACTTGTGCCAGGATTGGCTCAGTCGTTCCAATACAAAGGGGAAAATGGAGGTAACAGGAGTCCCCAGTGCAGAGCAGCTGTGAACCCAGTAGGGCAAGCCCCAGCGGAACTCAGAGTGTCTGGGTTTGGGGCTCAGGCCCCGCGGGTTCTTGGCCTCATCCCTGAAGCTGCTTTCCTTCTTGGTGAGGGTGTATGCCGGCAGATGG